CGCCATTCGTAGCCTCAGATGGCAATCACCGGGTCCCGGACGGTGATTCCCCGCCGGCACCCAGTGATCTCCAAGGATTTCCAATGGGGAGACACCTGTATGTTAACAATACAGATCTCTCCCCTGTCGGCTCCTGCACACTGCTTTGTATGGCTCTGCATAGCAGAGCCATACAAAGCAGTGTGCTTACAGTGAAACACACACACAGCACACATAATAAAACAGCACACAGTTAACCTTTTGATCGCCTTACATGTTAACCCCTTCCTGCCCAGTGCCGTTAGTACAGTGCTAGTGCTTTTTATTAGCATTCATCACTGTATTGGTGTCACTGGGGATGTCAGTGACACCAAGTCAGTTCCCCCCAGTGTCAGAATGACCACCACAGTCCCACTATAAGTCACTGAATGCCACCATTACTAGTAAAAAAAAACAAATTCCAGTATATATACTTCCATTTGCAAACGCTATAACTTCCACGTAAACCAATTAATTTACATATATTGGGATTTTTTTTTAGCAAAGACATGTAGCAGAATACATTTTGGCCTAAATGTATGACGAAATTTGATTTTTACATTTTTTACTGGATATGTTTAATAGCAAAAATTAAAAAATATAGTTTTTTTTTCAAAATTGTCGGTCTTTTTTTGTTTATAGAGCAAAGAATAAAAACTGCACAGGTGATCAAACACCACTGAAAGAAAGCTCTATTTGTGGGAAAAAAAGGATTTCAAATTAATTTAGGTGCAGCGTTGCATGACTGCACAATTGTCAGTTAAAATAACAATGGCCTGGTCAGGAAGGGGGGGGGTAAATCCCTCTCTGTATCTCTTGTGGATAGACTCCTGCTTTTTTCCTATAATAATTACAGGTAGCTACCAGGACCAGAATGAGGTGAAATCTCCATTGTTGGGATACAGAACACACAAAAAACATCTGATTTTCTAACACTTATGGATTATGAAAGGCTAATTCTTCTTAGCTCTATTCAAATTGTGGAGCTGGATTTCCAGAGCACAAAACCAAGTGGTAAATTTTTATGCTAACCTTTCAAAATTAGGCATTGCGCAAATAAGATGACATAAAAAGTTCACTTGAAGCTGAACTCTAGGCAAATATAAAAGACACAAGTTAAAGCGGTATTAAACCCAAAAGCAAACATTTGTTATATTGCAGTTTACCAAATCTTGTGATGGCTGTATTAGTTTTCTTTTTTAGGCTTTATTTCTTCTATTTTCATCTGGTGAAGCAGCCAGCAACTCTGCTATTTTTCAGATGTTCAGGCTATCCAGCAGAATGTATCAGCTTACATGGATGAGACCATATATTTGTGACTGGCAGAGGTTAATAAAATGGTCAGCTTTTATTTATTCATGTACTGTATAACCTTTATCCCAAAAGGAAAAAAATATGTTTGCTGTAACTGATTTTTAAGTGTTAGCTGGAGTTTGACTTCAATTTGTTTTTGTATTGAAATCTGCTAATACATTTAACACTCCCATCCCCCTCCCAGACTAACAATGCTGCTGTCTGCTGTGTTCCATGCTCATTCCTCCTAAGTGGTGTCTCACTAATACTGGTGTGTTACTGGCCAGATCACCAGGTGAAAACAAAGGGGAAAAGCCAGAGAAAAGAAAACTGATGTAGCCACCACATCTAGTGATTGGTAAGCTGTAATTTAATACATTTTTGGTTTTAGGTTTATTACTGATTTAAGGCAGCTCTGTAATCACTAATACAAATTTAAACTTATTTTTAAATATAAGCAGTGTAAGTACTTGCATTTGACTTGGTATTAGTCTTTCAAGTTCCCTTTACAGCAGAGCTGTAGTGCCAGACAATAAATAATTACAAGGAGCCAATCAGCTGTTGTGCTGCAAGAAGCATGCTGATAAAAAGAAAAGCAGAGTGAATGAAAGATGAGTTCATTATTTTGCGGTTTCACCTTTCAGTGTCCAGTAATAGGCTGGGATATGTCCAGGATGACATTGGCTCAGAGGAATTGGGTTGAATGATGCTGGCCATCAGATTTAGGACATTAACAAGCAGAAAAAAAGTACTGCTGAGGAAATCTAGGTACGTATTGCATCAAAGGCTGTTCTGTTACTGTATTATTTAATGGGCTATTTGTTTTTATCTTGCTTTTCTTGGATGGAGTTCTGCTTTAATATGTTGCCTAATCAGTGTATGTCACTGCTGTTTATTGTACAGTACAGTGTACAGTATTTCAGATCTACATGATGAGATATGCAAATAAAAATTAAATCAGATTACCTAAAGTATAATTTAGCTAAAATATAATACTTAAATACATGAGAACAATATTAAAAATAATTTCAGTGGATTTAAAAATAGGACCTTTTAGATTATATGAAGGTAAAGGAATTTTATGTGATTTGATAAACCTCGTCTCATAGTATGAAAGTCAGTTGGCTGCAAAAAAAAAAAAAAAAAAAACACATTCTAAATATTTGGCTTTGATTTAGCACAAGTTGTCTAAAATTGTATGCACATAAGAGCATTCATCAGTGATCACTCACAGGCCAGTGACAACAGAGAGCCATCGGCAAATTACTGCACAAGTGAGAAAGGCATGAAGGTCAGATTTATTTTGGCTACAGCATTGCAAGATGTAATGTGCAAGGAGAATATTCAAAGCATCAACCATCATCTGTTACTAGGGAAGAGCTTGTTTGTTTTTGTGCTAGAATTACCAATTTCAATATACAGTGTAAAGCAAATATACCACAATAACTAATAAGTAATGACCCTTTTCTGCAGACTCAGCTGTTCTGGGCTCTTGAAGACCTTTCTGGTACCCAGTGATGGAGAGGGTTAGTTATGTGATCGTCCTAAAAAGGGACTGGGTAGCTGAATCTAAAAATCAGTTTCCCAAATCTCTTAAGCAAAGATCAAGTGATCACTGTTCCAGAAACTGGTCAAATGACAGGCAAAGGGAGGCGAGAACACTGGTTTCTGTAGTGAAATGTATTTAGACACTTTGGACTGTTAAATTGAGAGAGCAAGATGGCAAGGGAAGGGTGGGAGGAAGGTTGACTATTCAATATAGATTCAATTTCAAAATATGTAATTTTACAGATCTCTGATACACGATAACATGACACAACATGCACTGACCAGTTAAATGGATGCATGTAAATTAAATAAACCCCTGGAGATTTAAGTGATTTTCTCTGTAATGTGAGGAACGCTGTTTTAATGAATAACCATTTAGCCTGGATTCAGTTGAATGAGCATTTTGTGAAGGACTAAATTATTGCTGCCACCCTCTGTTTTAATCCAGTTCATGATACTGTCCATATGTTCTTTGGTTAAAAGTACACCCTGATGACAAAGGAAAGTGCAAGACACTATATCATTTAATCTTAACCTTTTGTAAAGTATAAAAGACAGGTTTAACTGCCATGCAGCTGTTACTTGAAATGCAGCTCATGTAAACACAAGACCTGAATTATCTTGTCACAGTAGTGTACATTGCTGCTTTAGTGATGCTTTATCAAATGGAGAAAAGAAACTTCTAAAATGTCAGTACAGCATCACTGGCAAAACAGGATGTGTCAGTACTATTCCAATAAATTAGCCAAAAAGCAGGGTTTAGTAAACTTATAAGACGTAAATGTTTACTACTGCAGGAATTCATTGGGTATTTAAAGCCTATCTACAGCCCAAAACAAAAAATGAATATTGTGAATTTATAAACAAATTAAAACTATGCAAATGGTGTCATTGGAAATCAAGACTAAGCAGCAATTATATCAATAAGTACAATTGCAAAGCCATACCGTGCTTCCTTTAAACTGTGAAAAATCAATATAGAAGCAAAACAATAAACAACATAAAAAAGTGTATACTATTTAAATAAACGTGTAAAATGTGTATGTCACTTTAAATAAAGTCCAGTACACCAGTGAGAATAAATCATCAAAGGAGCCCCATAAAAGAAAGTCCAAACACCAGTGAGAGTGAATTTTCAAACAAAATGAAATGGTCCATGTGCTGTAGTACTCTTCTTATGTGGACCAGCCAGTTCTCTTTCTATTTCACCACACATATAAGCTTACCAGAAGCAATGTGACTCTCAGTGCATGAGAATTAAAACAGCTCTGTACATATAGACCAGTCTGTTAACAGTATATGGGGAATTACAGCCACTTCGCCAGTCTAGGCAAACATCTTAGAACTGATGCTCCAAAAAAGTGAAAAGAAAGGAGCGCCAGGCTCACATAGTCTAAAAATGTTTAAGTAAAGTTTATTATGATGGTTACAAACACTTATAAGCATGTAGGCAACATTCAGCATCCAACATATTACAATTGGCATCCAGCAAACTACAATTTCCACAATTCTACTAGCGGGCGCACATGCGTGGTGACGTCACAACTTTCAGCTCATCCCTATGTGTTTCGTCACATATGACGTCATCAGGGGCTGGGGGGATAGGAGGATAGAGAGAACAGCACAGGAATGTATGATCAATTAACCACTTGCCTACCAGGCACTTATACCCCCTTATTTACCAGCCAATTTTCAGCTTTCAGCGCTGCCGCACTTTGACAATTATGCGGTCATGCAACATTGTACCCATATAAAATTTTGATCATTTTTTTTCCTCACAAATAGAGCTTTCTTTTGGTGGTATTTAATCGCCACTGGGCGCTTTACTTTTTGCGCTATAAATAAAAAAAGTGCAAAAAATTTGAAAAAAAAAAAAAGTTTCTTTGTTTCTATTATAAAATTTTTCAAACAGGTAATTTTTCTCCTTCACTAATGTGCGTTGATGAGGCAGCACTGATGGGCACTGATAGGCGGCACTGATGGGCACTGATAGCCAGCACTAAAGGGCACTGATAGGCAGTACTAATGAGGTGGCACGGATAGGCGGCACTGATAGACAGCACTAATGAGGTGTCACGGATAGGCGGCACTAATATGCAGCACTGATAGGCGGCACTGATAGGTGACACTGATGATGGGTACTGATAGACGGCACTGACTGGCATCACTGCTGGGCACTGACTGGCGCCACTGACTGGCACAACCGCTGGGCACTGACTGGTGGCACTGACTGGCAGCACTGCTGGGCTGCACTGGTGGGCAGCACTGGTGGGTGGGCACAGGTGGGTGGCACTGGTGGGCACAGGTGGGTGGGCACAGGTGGGTGGCACTGCTGGGCACAGGTAGGTGGCACTTCTGGGCACAGGTGTGGGACACTGCAGAGTGGCACAGGTGGGTGCACTGCTGGGCACAGGTGGGTGATCTGCTGGGCACAGGTGGGCGGAGCTAGTGGGCGCACTGCTGGGCACAGGTGGGCGGAACTTGCGGGTGGCACTGCTGGGCACCGATCATCAGGGCACTGATCATCAGTGCCCTGATGATCGGTGCCGATCCTCGCTCTGACAACTGCCGGTTCTTGGCAGTACTTTCCTCACGATCTGACAGCGTGAGGAAAGTGCAGCCGAGAACCGGCACTTGCATTTCCCTGTGATCAGCATGTCATTGGACACCGCTGATCACGTGGTAAAAGGCCGCTGTGATTGGCCTTTTACCACATCACGTGATCAGCTGTGTCCATAGGACACAGCGATCATGGAGATCGCCGGGTGCACGCCCCCTGGGGCGCACAGGAGAGCGCGTTCTGGGATGACGTCATATGACGTCCACCCAGAACTGGCCGGCCGCAGTGCAGCCGTCATTCGGCTATCTGCGGTCGGCAACTAGTTAAGGTTTTGTTTCCCTGCCACTGACCACCAATGCAAGGGCAGTCCATTTAAAAAAGCAATACCACTGACCACCTGACGCAGGGGAAGTGAATGTTTAAAAAACACTACACCAACTACCAATACAGGGGAATGAGGGTGTAGTGTTACCATGTTCTTTGTAACTATTACAGAAACTGGACTTTGTCAGGGGGAGCACTGTGATCTGCAGTAATAAATACATGAGTGTTAACTTGCACATTATACATACTTGTGAAGAAATATCACCAGCACACAATGGGTCTAAAGCTTTATTTTCCTGGTCACATAGTAAACACAAGGTAACATTTCAGAGCCATGCAATGCCCCTTCGTCAGGAAAGTGACTTGCTGCATGGCTCTGTAAGATTGGCTTTTGTTTACCATGTGACCACAAAAATAAAGCTTTGGACCTATTTTGAAGAATCCTTGGTGTGCTGGTGCCATTTCTTCACAAGAATGTATAATGTGCAAGGTAACGCTCAGGTATTTCTTACTGCTAATTGTCAGAGATCACAGTACTCCCCTGACAAATCCCAATTTCTGTAATAGTTACAAAGAACATAGCAATCACTGGGTAGTTAGACTTTCCTTCTTCCAGTAACTGAATGACATCTTTTTTCAGCCTGTGCAAAATCATCTGACTGAAGCACAAGGGCTGCTTTTTATGAAAAAAGATACACATTTAAAAGAATAATATTGTGACAAATCAATATTCATGCATTCTTAAAATTACTGAAAGGTCCACTTTAAGATAATTGTGAAAATTACTTCTCTGGAGGGTAAAGCAAAAAAATAGGCAAAAAGTCAAAGGCAATAAAATAATGTGAATCTTTGGAGAAAAACATCATCCACATTTCTATATAGCAATCAAGCAATATTAAACATTTTAGCCCAATAACCCCAGTATTATTCAAAAATTCCGTTTCATCATAAATTCTTTTTTTGCTCTGCAAAATCACATTTGACTTTGATTTTCCACTGAGCTTGGAATACAGATTTTAAGCAAATATCATAATTGTTTTGTAGATTATCAAAGCATATCAGATTGCAGCATGTTTGGTTTGAAGATGAAAATGTACAGTACAACATAAACAGCTTAATAATGGCCTTGTCAGTGAAAACTAGCATGCTATTACATAAGTAATTCCAAAAGCCTCCTGCAGATTTCAGAAAATGCTAAACTGGCATACTGAAGGTTTAATTGTGCTACAGGAACCTACTGTACAAAAGAAGTATTTTATCATTTTATAGTCAAAAAGAATAATGCATTTTAAATGCTTTATGACTTTTATAAAAAAAAATAGGCAGGTAGGAGAAGAATAATACCATATAAAATTACATTTTATATTAGCAGTACAATGGATTATATGACATTAATTACAGTGGAAACAAAGTAGGAAGGTTTATGCATTTTATGTCACAAATATTCACTAATGCAAACTCACATGAATTCTTGCATGATAAAGGTAGTGTTATTTTATCTGTGTACTGATTCTTGATCAGCAGTTGTCAATCTATGGGCTGGGGGGGGGGGGGGGGGGGGTAGGCCTCAAACGTGGACCTTGACATCACCAAGAGGCCACACATAATGTTTAATATACAGTATGTAATGCTTGAGAGGACTGTCAGAAACTGCAGACCTAATAACAGAAATGAAGGTTAGAGATTGTGCGCATGTTATATTTCGGCTGGGGATATGCTGCAGAAGACAATACAAAACTGGGAACGTATTACATGAGGCTAGTAGAAATCAATGCTATTGACCTAATCAATGTTCCTACTGTGTTTTCCCGAAATAAGACACTTTCTTATATTTTTTTTTGGCTCAAAAAAACCCACAAGGTCTTATTTTTGGGGTAGGTCTTATTTTTTTTTAAATGTCCAGGTGTGGACAGGGGGTGCAGAGGTGAGCTGCAGGCAGTTGTGGATGAGGGTTACTATGGAGAGGGCCGGTTGATGACAGCTGTGAGCTGCAGTCAGGTGTTGCAGGGGTGACTTGACAGATGAGTTTCAGACAGGGGGCAGATATGAGCCACAGACAGGGTGAAGGGGTGAGTTGCAGACGGGGAATGCAGAGGTGAGCTGTGGCCAGGGGGTGCTGAGCTGAGCTGTGGCTAGGGGGTGCAGAGGTGGGTTGCAACTCAGCTGACCTCTGCACCTCCCCAGCCACAGCTCACCTATGCACCATCTGCAACTCACCTGACTCAATTTACCTCTGCAACACCTGACTGCAGCTCACCTTTGCACACCCCCCCTCCTCCTCCACTGCCCTCATATGGTTAGCTAATTTTGCAAAACACAGCTGTCAGCAGCCGGCCCCTCTCTATAGTAACTCCAGTTTCAGGTCCTATCTTTCCACACAGTGCACCAAGCGCACTTACTCACTGCTCCGCCTCTTCCCCACTGGCCGGTGATCACCCCTGGGGCATCGTCTTCCATGCATTAGGCTGCAGAAGGAGATGCCCCACCCTTAAACACACTGCATACTGCACCCGCAGATATCTGTTCCTTCCCTGTCCCACAGTGAGTACACAACTCCTGACCTCAGCTCAATAGAACACCTTTGGGATGAATTAGAGCGGAGACTGTGAGCCAGGCCTTGTTGTCTGACATCAGTGTCCTGACCTCACAAATGCCCTTCTGGAAGAATGGTCAAACATTACCATGGCCACACTCCTAAACCTTGTGAATGGCCTTCCCAGAGGAGCTGAAGCTGTTATAGCTGCAAAGGGTGGGCCAGCTTAATATTGAACCATACGGACTAAGATTGGGATGCCATTAAAGTTCATGTGCAAGTAAAAGCAGGCGTTCCAATACTTTTGGCAATATTGTGTATATATATATATATATATACAGTGGGGATCGAAAGTTTGGGCACCTCAGCTAAAAATTTGTATTAATGTGCATAAAGAAGCCAAGGAAAGATGGAAAAATCTCCAAAAGGCATCAAATTACAGATTAGACATTCCTATAATATGTCAACAAAAGTTAGATTTTATTTCCATCATTTACACTTTCAAAATAACAGAAAACAAAAAAATGGCGTCTGCAAAAGTTTGGGCACCCTGCAGAGTTAATATCTTGTACTGCCCCCTTTGGCAAGTATCACAGCTTGTAAACGCTTTTTGTAGCCAGCCAAGAGTCTTTCAATTCTTGTTTGAGGTATCTTTGCCCATTCTTCCTTACAAAAGTCTTCCAGTTCTTTGAGATTTCTGGGCTGTCTGTCACGCACTGCTCTTTTAAGGTCTATCCATAGATTTTCAATTATGTTGAGGTCAGGAGATTGTGAAGGCCATGGCAAAACCTTCAGTTTACGCCTCTTGATGTAATCCCCTGTGGATTTTGAGGTGTGTTTAGGATCATTATCCATTTGTAGAAGCCATCCTCTCTTTAACTTCAGCTTTTTCACAGATGGCATCAAGTTAACATCCAAAATTTGCTGAAATGTTATTGAATCCATTTTTTCCTTCTACTCGTGAGATGTTCCCTGTGCCACTGGCTGCAACACAACCCCAAAGCATGATTGATCCAACCCCATACTTAACAGTTGGACAGAGGTTCTTTTCATTAAATTCTGTGCCCCTTCTTCTCCAAACGTACCTTTGCTCATTCCGGCCAAAAAGTTCAATTTTAACCTCATCGGTCCACAGAACTTGTTTCCCAAAATGCATCAGGCTTGTCTATATGTTCATTTGCAAGGTTCAAGCGATGATTTTTGTGGTGAGGATGTAGAAGAGGTTTTCTTCTGATGACTCTTCCATGAAGACCATATTTGTACAAAGTATCTCTTTATAGTGGAATAGTGTACCACAACTCCAGTGTCTGCCAGATCTTTCTGCAGGATCGTGCAGTCAAACGTGGGTTTTGAATTGTTTTTCTCACAATCCTGCGAGCTGTTCTGTCTGATATTTTTCTTGGTCTTCCAGATCTTGCTTTAAACTTCCACTGTTCCTTATGACTGCCATTTCTTAATTACATTCCGAACAGAGGATATTGACATCTGAAAACGTTTTGCTATCTTCTTATAGCCTTCCTTCTCCAGCTTTGTGAGCGTCAACTATTTTCAGTTTCAGTTTTCTAGACAACTGCTTAGAAGAACCCATGGTGCTGATTGTTGGGGCAAGGTCAGATGAGTCTGGGCATTTAAATCCTTTGAGATTGACATCACCTGGTCTTCCCAGACGATGATTGAGAACAATCCATGACACTGGCAGGTCTCAGCTTGGCAAAGGGGGCAGTGCATGCTATAAATTCTGCAGGGTGCCCAAACTTTTGCAGACGCCATTTTTTTGTTTTCTGTTATTTTGAAAGTGTAAATGATGGAAATAAAATCTAACTTTTGTTGACATATTATAGGAATGTCTAATCTGTAATTTGATGCCTTTTGGAGATTTTTCCATCTTTCCTTGGCTTCTTTATGCACATTAATACAAATTTTTAGCTGGGGTGCCCAAACTTTCGATCCCCCACTGTATATATATGATGTGTACTGATTTCCTCAAAGTGTTTGTCTTGGAGACAGATATGAAGTTTCTTGGAGTTTGAGGAGATGCTTTTCAAACAAATGCTAATGGGTACAATGATAACATAGATACCATTGTTGCATTTCAGTTGACAGTTGGCTATTGTTCTGATTGTTCTGTAACCATGGTTACCAATACCTTGCCCATCTAACATATACAACTTACGGCATGTATGATACAACAGTGCCATCTTGAGGTTGAAGAATGTATCACCTGGACAGTGTAATAAGGTAGAGAGGGACCACACCCATGTGACTGATTAGGGGGACTCTAAGATGA